TCATTAAAATTATTGCTTAATGATCTTAAGACAGATTTCAATGCAAAATATTTATTAACTTACCGCTTAAACCAAGATCCGTTAGAAGGTTTTTTTTCAATAGTTAGATCAATTGGTGGTCTCTACGACCATCCCACTGCTTTACAATTTAAATATCGATTAAGGAATTACGTTTTAGGACGAAATGATGAAATCATTTCTAACTCTTCAAATGTAGAACAGGCAGTAGATGCACCAAATATTATAATTGAGAACCTACATACATTAAAAAATATTTGTGACGATATAGATAATGTAAAAACAGTTACTGGGCAAATGTTAAGTACATTAAAAGTAAATGTAGATAGGTACGACGAAGGTACAACAGATGAAATTTCTTCAGTAGATGAGCTGACTCAACTGCAATGTGACGGATTAGAAAACTTAGCGGGATATGTAGTTTTCAAATTAAGAAAAAAGGAGACTCTGGGATTCATTCCAGATTCCAGCGATTGTTCATCTTCGTGGCTTAACCACGTGTCTGAAGGCGGTTTAATGAAACCCACAAATAACTTTCTTGAAAATTGTAGGCAGCTAAATGCGATTTTTGATGCAATAAATGGAAATTCTTTAAAAATTCAAATTAATTATATAAAAAACTTAATAGAACATTCTGAAAATGTAGATGTTAGTCTTGATGCCAAAAAACTGTTTTTTAGGTGTAAATTGTATTTTAGAATTCGAAAATTAAATCGTTATATTAAAGAACAGTCAAATACGAGGAAAAGAAAGTTTGTAAAAATTGTTAAATAATGTTGTTACTAGTCTGGCCCCTCTAGATTACATAAGCAACTAAAATGTACGTATTTTACAACCCTCGATATTAAAGGCTAAGTTATGACCTCCTCGTGTATGCATTTTATGGTCTTCGTTAAGGATAATTTAATTTGAATTGTAATAAAGTATAATTTATGATAATTTGTTATTATTCTTTGCCAAGTCTCATCGCTCAATAACTTACACTTCTCACTTGGAATGGTCATCTTGGAGAAATTAGTCATAAGAGCTACCTCTAAAGTGTGCACTAAAACGAACGATGAAACATTTTTATCCCTGATCAACTTTTGATAAGAGACCTTCCCGAAATCGACTCATTCATATCATAGTGCGAACTCGGTGAAAAACTAAACATCCTATTCAATTCATTTCCTGTGCCACATTTGTTATGCACTTTACAACAACAAATGTTACTGTGTAAATCTCTCTTAATATTCATTGGCGACAAGCGACAACAAAATTTAAATTTGTCACCCGATGACGTAATGCGCAAACAAGTTCTAAATTCGTTCGCCAGTTGAGCATATCTGATTATTATAGTATCATGACTTTTGATTAAACGATTAGGTGATTAATCAATTATTTGATTAATCGATGATTTGAATAATCGATTATTTGATTAATCGATTAATCAGTGTAATCGATTATTTTGCATAATCGATTATCGATTATTCAAACCCGTAATCGCCCAGCCCTAATCGAAGCCCCTTTGTACAGTACAGTTGGTTTATTTTATTTGAATTTGTTGTCTCGGTGTCTATTTTTCCTTTGAAAGTTTTGTAATTGCGTAATTGTTGTTTCAATTCGCTTTTGTAAATTGTTTATTTAGATTTTGGGATGTAATTGTAAAACGTAAAATCGCGTGTCAAAATGTTTGTTATCGGACGAAATTAAATTAACACACGTGTCCTTATCGTTGTTAGAAGAGATAATGGACATGCAGATTGTGATTGGCTGTTGATTTGAATGATCTTGAGAAAGGAGATTATCTTATGGTGATGTGGTGTTCTTTTAAATAGCGGAATCAACGAGAAACAGGGCGGTTGCTAGCTGTGAGTTTTTCGCGACGGTAGAAAAGAGGTTGTACATTTGTTTACGCTAATTTTCGGGCGTTGAGACCTAGTTGCTTTGCTGAAGACGCACTTCGTTGGCATCGAAATAAAATCAGAAAAAGTTAATGCTTAATAGCAGTATTAATAAAAGATTTTAAGTTATCGTCAAGTGAAGTAGTAAAAGTTTGTGGAATGTTTTAAAACGGTTTGTCCGTATTCATAAAAAGTAAATTCGAGTGTCAGTAAACAAAGCAGTTGTCTGCTTAGTGAAAGTTAAGAGTTTCTACCGTACGAGTAGCCACCGAAATTTTTTTTCGCATCTTATTTATTAAGCCAGTTTGAGTGAATGAATTCAGTTTATTAAAAAGGAGTGAAGTTCCCCGAAGCAGTGAGCGAGTGATTTTGCGTCTTTGATAAGTGCGCCTGAATATCGCAAACCTTTTCTGACCAGATTATTTGGTTTCGTATTTAAACAAAAACTGAAAGTATTTGTAGCGTACTTAACCCCCAGGTTCTACGCTAACTTCACACTACACTACAAGAAAACGTCAACTCTGCAACGTTTAAAAATGGCGACCCGAGTGACTATTCCCTCCAAAACTAAACATGATCCCGCTTAAATTTGAAAGTGGCACGTGATAAGATATCTAAGGCAGGATCCTCTTACGATAGTTGTAAACAACGCTTTGACCTGAAGCACAGTAGGGAAGGAACGTAAAATAAAACACTAAACACTGAATTGTGAAAAGTTTGTTTAATAATGATCGTAATTATTATTGATTGTAAAACTCGGAAATTTAAGTCGAAATAAATTACATTGCAAAAATAAACTTTGAAAAGGGTAGTTCACGGAATAAAAATATAAATCGGCTGGGAAAAACAGAACTTACCAATAAAAAAAACCAGCCGTCAAATTAATATCAAATTGTGTTGTAAAATTAATTGTTTGTAATGAAGTGAATGCGTAAGATAAAGTTATAACATTACAAAAAGTAGCTTCAAGAGGTAACATATAGGTTATAAATACAAGTTTTGGGAATTATGGGTCAGATAAGCAGGTACCAAGATTCTAAGAAAGGGTGAAATACACAGGATGTGACTCATCTTTGGTGCAATAAAGTCCTTTTGTTGTGCGTAAGATAAAGTTATAACATTACAAAAAATTACAAAAAGTAGCTTCAAGGAAAATTACATGGCCTTGTAGGCAAATTCAACTAAAAACAAGATACGTGGAAATTATTGAATCGCCACTCATTTATCGCACATAGATTCTAAACTGAAGAGCTTTGATTAGCGTAATCCCGCTCCTGCAAAATAGGTAGCCCGCCCCTGGTTTCGAGCCTACAGTTGAATGTCGAAGACAATCACGGAATTAGGTGTCGTACGTACTTCAAATGGTTACAGTTTTTACCACCCCCGTGACTGCTTCATGCACGGAGAACATTGTTAGTAGGTACAAACAACAAGTCAGTACATACTTACATCAAACGAATCGGTAATTTCCACATATTAAAATAAAATGATCAAAACTTATATGAATGTTACTTCAGGGGCAAGACCAAGTAGTCAACATCAATAAATATAAATTAAGTAAGCAGTACACAAAAAACGTAAACAATTACAGACAAAAGGATAACGGTATTAAACATGTCATTCTGTATTGCGGTTCAACCAAGTAAATTTCAAAAACAAATATTGAAACACAAAAAATATAAAATGCGGCATACAAAACACAAATACGATATAAAGAAATGCAAAAATTACTACCTACCACAAAATAACAACAAACATTTATGGAGCGACGCGTTCACGACCGCCATTCAAGACAAGATGCCAAAACATAACCCCCGTCCGTGCTTTTTAGATGGCGCAGGCAGCTTTTCCCCACCTAGAAATTGCATGGTTACCAACTTTCAAAAATGTATGTATCGTCGTAAGTTGTATTACAGGGTGGAACCTCCCAATTTTAAGGTTTTTTTTAAATATGTACCGCCTAAGTGAGGGATATCATGTCCAAACATGCAGGGATTTTGTCTGAATTTTTTTCGTGTGTCTTGGAATAAATTGTTGTCATTGACAATGAATTAATTGTGTGTTTATTCGAATCCCTTGTGCGATCCAAATAGAGTTTACGGCAATAGTGGAATTTTTGCACGGTTTCGTCATTTTTCTTAAAGGCGGCGCTTTTTTGCCTAGAGGTTCAAAGCGGCGCCGGCGCTGCGGCGGCACTCCTTGTGTTTACACTAAGTCAGCCATGACAGTTGCAGTCCTCGACTCATGCGCTGCCCGTGACAGTCGACCCGTAATCCTCTTCAGGTAACGGAATAAATAATAAAGTTAATAATCTTTATATTATGTATGACGCAGTTGCTATTTTCCTAAAGTATATGTATCTTTGCTGCAATAGAAAACATATTAGTAAATGTGTTTTGAAGCGGAACAACCCTGTAAAGCAAATGGGTAAATAACATTTATTCTTAAAAATACACTTCACATTAATGACCCTCTGGGGTATTTTCAGAAACACCCGGTATATTAACAACAAATCGAACTGCAATACATTAATATATTAAGGATTTTCAAGCGCCAGTCTAAACTCTGGGCATCTGGGGTCCACCAACACCAACTTGATGCAAAATTACAAGTAGGTGGTTAAATCAGCTTTACATAAGTATACAAAATTAAATAGCGCTTGAGCATACAATATTCTCTTCAATAAGTTCGTACCTATATACTACGACGCTAGATCAAATATATAACGAGGTTAACAACAACGAATAGTAAAACGGCGGAAAGCAGCAATACTACTCTACTCTGCACGGACCGGTTATAGAATCCCCACTTTCGATTTGGATATCAAATTGGCCCTCCAGCTACGCTCTGCGCGGTCCGGCGACGAACATCATGTTACCACGTCGTAACGCATCTGTAGGTTGACATGTTCCGCCCGAGAGGAACTAGCTACCTATCCTAGGGGCCAGAACAACTCTTCAGTTTTGACTGATGAACCATATCATAGGCGCCGGGAAATAAAACATAGTTTTAAATAAATATATATGTATATTATAACATCTTGCCCCACATAGTATAAGTATCCACTTTTTGACAGTAATTGAATTATGCCAGCTTATCTTTTTTTTTTTAAATTAGAATTTGGAAATTCTGTTCTTTAAACATTGACAAGACAGAGATAGTACAAGCTAATCCAGTAACAGAACATTAAACAATTACATAATAGAAATAACACAACTCCTTTACACGCATAAACAATTCAAGTCACATCAACATTATAAACATTTCAAACAGTGAACATATAGGTAGTATATGTTGCTACAAGAACGTTCATCAGTGCTCACAGTTTCGCGACGATAATAATTTAGGCAGGTCGCCGTTTTTGTTTCGGTCAGCTCTGATAGCGACACTCTTGTAGTACCGTTAATTGATTTAGAATTTTTGTACAGTAAATAAAGGTACCTTAGGCAATTGCGTCCCTTTTGGCAAAAGTTGCGCCTGTCGGCGATATGCGCTTCTTTGTTTACTGTACCTACTAACCAAACGACAGAAAGTATAAACATAGTCTTTGCAAACTTAGAATTAGTGTAAGATAAAAGTAAGCTCACAGAAAGCCGCTGATTTAGGTTTACACTCTTTGCAATTCATCTAATAACAATTTGCCATCAATGCGCGCCGCAACACGGATATGGTATGGACCAGGAGTGGGCTTATAATACTTCCAAGGTATGAGGGAAGATGTTACACTGGTGTTTTAACTAGGTATTCCAAATACGATTCTCACCATATTGGACTTTATAACTGAGCACAATTTCAACTGGTACAGATAAAAGTAAAGGTTCTTCAGTATAAGTTAACAAGTATCCTGAATATGATCATGCAGTTTGTCATTTAAGTATTATTTATATTCATTTAAATCTTTTACAACAATAAAATCTTACAAGAAAATTTAACAGTAACTTTCAACAACGGATTGTCATAATTTAAACGTGGAACGCTCCAACAATATTAAAAATAATGAACACTTTTCAACTGATACCGAGTTAAACTTGAACCAACTACTCTAGATCACAGTGAGTACACAAACAAAATTGTGTTTGGATAATTCAGTCATTTAACAACAATATGGCACCATAGTTTTATATTATGTACATATTTTTATAAGTACTGCATGAAAATATTGTTAAACAAGAATGAACATAGCGGTCGAGAACTGGGCTAACCCTTTTCAAAACCACGCGCAAAAACTGTTCTCACGTCCCGTTCTGGGTGGTGCTTACAAAAATAGAGTTTTTACCGTTGGTTATCAGCGCGTCAATTTTCAAAGGGCGAGTTTCGGACAACAGGATATTAAAGTAGAGGTGTTATCTTTTTGAGCACGATAGTAAAGGTGAAGACGTGTGCGGGTGAAGAATGAGCGGTTGAAGGAGCAGTAGAAGGCGGCGCGCCGCTGGCTATTTGTTAGTTAGACGAATGCTTGCCATCTGAAGAAGCTAGCTCACTAGATCCGCTACTGCTGAGGGTTGTGTTCGAACCGTACGGGTCTAGTGAGCTTTGCACGGACATCGAACGGCCGTGCGCTTGGCGTCTTACTCTATTAGGGGACAGTTTTCCGGGGTCGACACTTGCTGGGTCTGCCTACAACAAGGTTTGATTATAGTGGTTATCATTCGGTCACTGAAAATTAACAACCAAATTTTAGTCTAAATCTACGTAGGCCTCCGAAATATTTGTCCCTGGAGTCCCCAGGGGATCATCATTTATTCCTACGCAATCTTTTCTATAAGGCTGTGTTTCTTAATTGCTTCAGGAAATCGGTAGAACCATAAAGTCTAGTATTGTATTTCATTGTTTAATGGGGGTTTACAGTATAGTTGAATTCCGCAGTTCTAATTTAATAAGCTTATACCTGAAACCATAAAACATTTTTTTGGACAGTAAAAGTTTATTTAAAAATAGAGGCTGATTAGCAAAAAAATAATGAACTTTTGTGCGGTTTTAAGGTTTATTCAAAACGACGATTGTGGCGGGCTCTGTGACGTAATAAGCCCGACCAATCAGCTCCTAGAACCATTCAGATGACATAACGACTTGGCAATATTGTAGGAGAATGGCATTTATAACTTGCGTCATCTGTCACAGGCACTTGTCACTTTCGTGCTAGATGCAGTTAAACATCCACAGCCGTCTATAATTACAAGCCATGCTGAGAAGTTTGGCAACGTTGTCCAAAAGTCAATCGGTGGACCGATGTAAGTTTTAATGGCGTCTTGTTGCTCTTGAAAAATGGCATTTTCCTCTCCCCTGTGTTTCGCCTTGGCGGTTTTAATATATAAGAAAGATACTTAGGCAGCTTACAATTGTACATATATTTTTTTCATTTACAAAAATGGATAATAACATTTTTATTTGACTTTAAAATTCGGAACGCTGTAAATTGGTAACTGCATCATAATGTGTTTTCCATCGAGATCTCCGAAATTGATGAACTTCTGTCGAAAGAGGTCGAGGTGAAGCACACGTTTGAGCACTTAATTTCGGTAAAAGGACAGTAAATCGCTGCGCATCAGCGAGGTTATATCAACGACCAGGTGTGATTCGGAATGGCAGACTTTAAGCCAGTCGCTACTCCAGTGGGTCTAGGTACGAAGCTTTTAAAGAGGGGAGCCCCATAGACTTCAAATTCCCGTACCATGAACTCTTGGGAATAAGTTGAAAAAAAAAAATAAGTTGAAAGGTTCCTTCAGAAAATCGATTTGACATGTCCGTGCTAGAATACCTGAAATACAAACTAATTGTATTTTTTCACGATAAACACTTACCGTACTTACGTATCAGGTAGTGTGTAGGTCATATTTGAGCTTCTTACAGGTACTTTGAACAAATAAAAGTGCTTGTAAAGGGTCCAGTAAGGAGTAGCCTGCTTTAGAGGTTATGATAACAAATCGATATATTTCGTTTAGCAACTTACCTGAATAATAATTTCTGTTCATTCCATACGGAGTAACACAAATTGCCGCAATTTCCCTCTGTTAAAACAGGTACATTGGAATATTACACCCAAAACACATATAAAATACACTCAAAATGTGTCAAATTGAATTAGGAAATCGGCCTACCATGCAGTGTTGCCATAATTCTCAGCACGGCTTGTAATTATAGACGGCTGTGGTATTATCAACATCATGAAACTTGTCCTAGTACGTGTCGCCATTATGACAGTTGAATTTTGAATTTTGATTGACGGCTTATTGTGCTTTAAGTATAATTACTATTCATTATTACAATGAATTATGCATATACAAGTCGAGAACGTAAATGTTGTGTGACAAATTGTGAAGACGTTTCCCAAAAATGGAGCCCGAAGTTTTTAAGAATTGGTTTAGAATATAATGTGGAAAAAAATTTACACAAAAGTTTTTGGTTTGTGAACGTCATTTTTCTGGCTGCGCTTTAGAACCTGGAACACGAAGAGATTTAAAGCGTATGGCAGTTCGCACATTATATTTAGCAGGTAGCACTAATTGAATTGTAATAAATTGCTACATATTTTGTTTTTAGAACGATCTCGAGAGCATCATACAGTAGAGTTTCATGAAGTTGATCTTGTATCTTGTATAATCATATTAAATTAAATATAACTCCTGGATTGGATTAATTGGAGTTGTTACTTATAAAACAAGTGCTCTGTACTCTTTGAAGGCCCTGACTGGTGAGGTGCATCCGCATTAAACTGAATTTATTTGGACCCCTAACAAACAAAATTGGACTTCACTGGCTGGATTCATTTACCTTTTAGGTTTCAGTTAGTCAAATCCAATGTTATGGTTACAGATCCGGAGAAATTCAGTATCATGCGGACGTAGCTTACATTTTAATATTTAAATTTGGCGCCATTCACGCAAAAAGCTGCTGAGAACATACACGAGATGGCGCGTCATTTTTACATTACATTACAGTTTCCATTCTAAGTTTGTTGTTCTATGA